AGCCTATACAGAGAAACACTGTCTCAAGCAAAACAAAACAAGAATAAATTTCAGTTATTTTGGGGCTGCAGAGATGGCTCAGAGGTTAAGAGCACTGATCCTTCCAAAGATCCTGAGTTCAAGTCCCAGCAACCATATGGTGGCTCACAACCATCTAGGATGATATCTGGTGCCCTCTTCTGGCGAGCAGGTGTATATGCAGGCAGAACACTGTACAAATAAAAAAATAAATAACCAAACAAAGTTAAAAAAAACCAAGAGTGGACATCCAAGCTGCACATGGTAGGGTATGCCTGTAACACCAGCAACCAGGAGCCTGAGGCTGGAGGAACAGGAGTTCAAGGTCGCCCTGGGCTATATGAGACCTGACTTCTAAAGTGCTCAGCAGTTAGGACTTAGTCCTCTTGCAGAGCACAAGTGTAACGTTCAAGCACATGGAATAAATTACTAAATAAAGTTGAGGGGCTAGAGAGAGGGCTCGGCGATTCAGAGCACTTGTTGCTCTTGCAGAGAACCTGGCTTCTATTCCCAGCCCCGACACAGCAGCTCATAACAGGAACTCCAGTTCCCAGGGATTCACTGGCCTTTGCTGGTTCCAGGAATACATGTGGTACACAGACATCCATTCAGGCAAAACACCACACATATGAAATTACATATATATATATATATATATATATACATATATATTACAATATATATATATACATACATACAATATATATATACATACATACAATATATATATATACATATATATATATTACATATATATATATATATATATATATATCTGAAAAAAAAATATATATACTTGAAAGGGAGTGGGTGGCTTAAAAGATAATGGCTTTAAATATTTGAATGCTTAGTCCCCAGTTGGTGGAACAGTTTGCAAAGGATTAGCAGGTCTGGCCTTGTCGGAAGAAATGTGTCACTGGGAGTGGGCTTTGAGGAGACTTTCAGTTAGCTCTCTCTCTCTCTCTCTCTCTCTGCCAGCACCACGCCAGCCTGCCTGTCAGCCTGCCTGTAAGTCCGTGACTATGTCGGTCACAGACTTACCCTCTGAGACCATAAGGCCCAGGAAACTCTTCTTTTATGAGTTACCTTGGTGATGACGTCGTGGCAGGGCAGTAGAAGAGCAACTGAGGCTGGATGTGGAGGGCACACCTTTAATGCCAGCGCCTGGGGAGGCAGAGGCAGGTGGGTCTCTACAGAGTCAGGACAGCCAGGGCCATACAGAAAAACCATGTCTCAAGAGTAACTAAAACAGGGAGCTGGGGAGATGGCCCAGTCAGTTAAGAGCCGCTGAACAGGCCCAAGGACCCGCATTCCATCTCCAGCCCCCGAGGGACATCCTGGGCATGGTAGCATGTAGCTGAAATCCTGTCAATGAGAAACAGAGACAGGGGGCTCACCAGAGCTTACTGGCCAGCCAGCCTGGCCTAACTGGAGAGCCCCAAGTCCCAGGGACACACACACCTGGGAGAAGAACAAGGCCTGAGGCTCACCTCCGGCCTTGATAAACACACCTCCAAAAAATTCAACTGGTTTAAAAAAAAACAAAAAACCTTTTAATGACATATTTATTTCTATTTGGTGTTTTGCCTACATGTATCTGTGTGAGGGTGTTGGCTATCCCTGGAGCTGGAGTTACAGACACCTGTGAGCTGCCACATAGGTGCTGGGAGTTTAACCGGGTCCTCTGGAAGAACGACGGGCGCTCTGAACCACCAAGCCATCTCTTCAGCACCTCCACCCCATTTTTAAATTTTTTATTTTTATTTTATGTACATGGATGTTTTGCCTGCGTGCGTGAGGGCGTTGGATGCTCTGGACAGGAGTTATACAGTTGTGAGCTGGCACATGGGTGCGGGGAATTGAACCTGGGTCCTCAGCAAGTGCAGCCAGTGCTCTTCACCACTGAGCCGTCTCTCCAGCCCCTCCCTTCTTTTTGAGACGGGGTCTCTTTATGTAATCTTGAATGTCCTAGAACTCATTATGGAGACCAGGCTGCCCTCAAACTCACAGAGATCCGCCTGCCTCTGCCTTCCAAGTGCTGAAACTAAAAGCATGCTCCACTGTATTAGCACAAAAAAAAAGTCAAGAGAGGGATGGTTTTGCCTGTCATATAGAGACTGCAAATTGTCCCCATTTTGTCCCATGGAACCTTTGTTGAGAAGCTATATACCCCACCTCCAGCTGACATAGCCACCACATCCCCCCAAGGAACCACCCCAGGTGGTATAAAAGCCACATACCCCAAATGGCAACTACCTTCACAGGGTGAGTGAGACCTTTGCCAGGCACATGCAGACACGGATCTGCCTTGCCTGTACTCCACCAGCGTTTAGGCCTATACTTGGAGGGCTGTTTCCGACAGACCATAACAATTCCCTGTGGGGGGTTATGGGGAGGAGTTCCTGGCCAGTGAAAGCATGGACAAGTTGGTGGGGCCCAGAAACAGACACTTTCAATGGCAGAGGTCCTCAGACCACACAGTTTCCTCTACCTACCCCTCTAGAGGGCAGTCAGGCACGCTTCTGCCCCTGGAAATCCAGCTGCCCCTGGCAGTGACTTTCCTGCTTCTGTTCCCTTTACCAACTGTCTTTCCTTCCTGTCACCTCGCCCTTTTTCTATAGATGTTTCCTGGAGTTACTTCCGAGTCCCCTGGAATTTGCACACTTGTCTCAGATGGGCGGTAGCTCGAGACTGGGGCTGGGCGGTGAAGTTAGTTTAGAGGGTTAAGATCTGCAATGCCCCAGGTAAAGACTATTTTAAAATGCAAGCGGTGTCTTTATTTCATTGATAGAGGGTGAGATAATATACCTGTACCAACTACAGCCTAGTAATAAACATGTATTAGGCCGTACCATTCAAAATCACCACAATAGCAGTGCACAGCGGTTCATGACTATAAACCTAGCCGCTTGGGACGCTCAGCAGCAGGATTACAAATTCGTGGCCAGCCTGGGCCACACAGCAAGATCCCATCTCAATCTGCAACAACGAAGAAAAGATGGAGAGAACGATGAGAGACGGTGCCATTGTTGGCATTGTATCTGGCATGCTGAATCCAGAGCTTTTTATGAAATTTCGCGTGTAGGTGCCGTCGCATGCCTACGTACGGAGGTTCAAGAACAACTTGTGGAGGTTCTTTCTCTACTGTGTGGGCCACAGAGGACAAACTGAGATCGTCCAGCTGGGCAACAAGCACTTTTTGCCTCCCAAGCCACCTCGGAGGCCCAGAACCTTACGCTTTTCAGCCCCGATTCCAACAGACCTTTTTGAGGGAGGCTTCCAGCCAGCTCTTGGTCATGGACAAAGTATGCAAACCATCTCCAGTGCATTTTCAAACTGGGTTTTTCTGACACTCGCAACCGAACAAGCTGTTTAATAAAAAACCAGCCCTAATGGGAGATTACTTTAGTCACAGTACCTGTATGACACCAGACGCAGCAAGCCACATACTTCCAGACAGGGCAGCTCATTTTGCCGTCACCACCACCCGTGTAACTGCGGGAAAGCAGGTCAGCTGCCCTGAAGACTCTGTGGCAAGAGCTAGGAGCGCGTGTCAGCGGTCAGTCCTCTGAGCAGACAGCACTCTTAAAGGACGGCTGCACCCCACACCACACGGGGTCCCGGGGCCAGCCCTTGCCACTGCGATGCCTTGACCGTACTGTTTTAACTGTATGAGGGCACCCCACTCACCTGGTGCTTCAGGGATCTGCAGACAGTGGGCATCTGAGTGTCCTCAGGCACCAGGGCCGATGACCACCAAAGGCACTCTGACTCCTGTGCCTTTCTCTGCACGGTCCCCGTTGAACCTTGAAACCTTTTCTTGGCTTTGAAGGAAGAATAAGAAAAAGAGGCGCTTTGAGCAGATCTGCAGGTCTCTGCAGACTCACAGAGACAGGGTTGTGGACCCCTGGGGTGTCTTACAGATGTTCCAGATGTGAGGCCTGCAGTGAGGGGCACCCAGGTTGCTGCTTGGCACAGATAGTGCACAGTCTCTTTTTCTCTTCAAGAAGCACAGCCGCAGTTGGAGGAAAAATGGAAAGGCACCAAGTGTCCAGCACGATGCCTGGCTCAGAGTAAGGAGAAAAGAAAGGGAGAGAAGGCAGAATTGAGAGAAGAGACAGTGAAGAGTGAAGGCAAGGGGAAGGATGGAGCTACAGAGAGAGGAAATAGGACAATGGCTATGTCATTCAAAATTTCCCCTAGACCAAGGAGCCCACCCAGTACTCCTTGAGAGAGACAGGCCTAGGCAGAAAAGTCAAGGCCAAGATGCAGCAGACTGTCATCAGTTCCCAGCCAATCAGACAGCAGCGCACAGGCTGTGTCAAGGCTTTCTTGGCTAAGGGGCTTCCCAAGGGAGGGTCTAGGCCCTTCCTCCTGCCCAGCAGTCATGGAAGCAGCACAGAAACCACCTCCTCACCCACTGGGCTCACAGCTTCCCTTTTTCCTCTGTGTGTCCAAAGGTAGACTCAACCGTCAACCTCTCCCACAACTAGGAATGGAACCCCAAAGTGAGGAGAGAGGAGGCCGGTACTCAAGGGTGCTGCATTCCCAGCAGCACCCTGAAGGAGACCTGTCTGCCCAGCCTCCCAGGCCCCAGGCCTCACTAGGCATACTGTCGTGCCCGGGCTAGTTTCTCATGCTCCACGGTGTGTCACAGGCTTCACCAGGGCCACCCTCCAGGGAGGAAGCCAGGCCCATCATTCAGTCAGTCCTGCCCCACAAAGCCAAAACCGCAGGGACTGGAGGGTCATCAAGAGGAGAGAGCAATGAGTTCTCCAACACGCACCACCTCAAGGCGTGTCTAAGTGTGAGCCAACCTCTCCATGCTGAGATTTATCCAACCAACCATCTGTTCTACCCAACTGACAAGGTTTGCCTCTTCAAATCCTCTGTACCAGCACAGAACCATCAGCCCTCCAGGTGACACAAGCTCTCAACAGGAGGGCTGAAATGCAACACTATTTTGCTATTTTAAAGAGAAGTTTCACATGAACATTTCATTTATTAAAATAGTTTCTGTAAACTCTTTCAGAAGAATATACATTTTTCTTGCTTGGGTAACGTGTCAAGGCACCATAAGATGATGGTCTCTTTAAGAACACCTGTCTATTCATGTGTGAAAATTGTGTTAGGAAAGAAAAAAAAAAGATACACATAACACAGACACACACAAGAACCCGTTCATGATCTCAGCCACCAAGAAAACAGGGCTTGTTGTAGCAGAATGATTGACAGCTTTGGGGTGCTTCTCACTGTTGATGTCCCAAAAGAAAAGGGAGATGTACTGAATACTTGTCACTAAAAAAACAAAAACAAAAACAAAAACCCGGTGGAGCAGAGGAGGAGCACACGCCTCAGACCAAAAGTCCGAGAAAGCAGCTCGGGGCGCCTGTCCCCCGCTTTCCCTCGCGGTTCACTTCTTTTCCTCCTCTTCACTCAGGGTGGGATTCTCCTGCGGCGGGGACGCCAGCTTGTTCTGCAGGAGGGCGGCCAGCTTTTTGGAAGTCTTTTTGAGAAGCGCGCTCCCCGGGTGCGCACTGCTCACGTGCAGGTACAGGTCCTCCTGGGTGGGGCCCGTGTAGCCGCAATCCTCGCACACGTACAGCTTGTCCCGCCGCTGCTTGTAGGCGTACTGCTGCTGGACGCCGTGGATCTTCTTCAGGTGCGACTCCAGCGAGCACCGCTGCGTGAAGGCTTTGTAGCACACCTCACATTTGTAGGGGCGAATGCCTGCAAGGGTGCGGGGCAGACAGTCACCAGCCGCTCGGAGCCACTCCCACGCTTCCCTCCCGCGAAGCCATCAAAGTTTCCCATGACCAAGACCCCTTTTCCCCCCCTCCTTTTACGAGACAGTGTTTCTCTGCGAAGCCTTGACTGTCCTGGACTCGCTTTTTAGACCAGCTGGCCTCGAACTCAGAACTCACAGCGATCCGCCTGCCTCTGCCTCCCTGAGTGCTGGGATTAAAGACGAGCACGACCCGGCTCCAGGATCCTTGCCAATGTGAGGAGAGTGGGTCCAGAACCATCTACAAGAGTCCCGGCGTCGCCACGAACCTAACACACGTGGGCACCAACGAGGCAGAACCCACCACTTGACTCTGAGAGAAAGACTGATTTCTGTTCTTTTTTTATTTTTATTTTAATGTGTTGTCAGTTTTCCAGCAAACAGATTCTGAGACAAAAAGCCTAGGTAAGTTTACTGGCGAGGCCATCTCAGGAGCAAGGGATAGGTGATGAAGGAGAGATAGGGAAGGGAGGGAGCCAACAGGGTGGAAATGCCACCCCAGCCTCTGTGTGGCATCACCGAAGGAGGGGAGCCGCTCACTTTCACTGGCTAAGCACTTCCGGGCCAGGGTGGACAAAGGGCTGCCAGTGGGGGGCTCAGACCCAGAGGCCTGAGCCCAACCCCCAGAATTTACATCTACAAAGCCAGGCTGGGGCGTCCTGGCCTTCTGGTCCAAAAAAAATTCTCCATTTGATTAATGTTAAAACTCTGACCTTCAGAAGTCTAATATAACAATAGCATAGTGAGAAGGAAAGAAATCTGAGACCTTGCGAATTCGCTCAGAACTATGCTTGTTGTCAGGCTACGTGCAAATGAAATTCATTGACAGTGACTCATGCTCTTAATCCCAGCCCTGAGGCGAGGGTGAACAGACTGTGTGAGTTCAAGGCCAGCCTTCGCCTGGGCTACACCTGGGAAACCCTGTCTCCAGTTTCTAGGGATCAGGGTCAGGCGGATCCCTCAGCCTAACTCGTACGTTCTCGGCCAAGTGAGAACCCCTTCTCAGAAAAGAGGCTGTGGGAGGTTGGGGCACAAGGAGATGACTCAGTGGCTGACTGGTTAGCCACCAAGGCTGGCCATCTGGACACCAGAACGCACACAGTGGAAGGAGAGAAAGAACTGGCTCCCATAGATTGTCCTCTCATCTCCAAACTTGCATTCGGCAAGACAGACACACCCCTTATGTGCACTAAGTGAATGTTGAGAACATACATACATATGTAGAGAGAGAGGCGTGGTGTGGGGGAGAGGGGAGAGAGTGAGAGCACACCTGACGTCACTGGCTACCGTCTGCTCGCAATCACACATAAAGCACACACAAAGATGAGTCAGCGTGTTGTTTTGTTCAATGAAATGCTGTATGCAGTTAGAGTGTGGGGCTGCCTGGGCTACCCTACACAGAGAGATACCATTTAAATCTAAAATTAAGACCAAGTTTCAGAAGACCATGTCTGTTTTCCCAGCACTTGGGAGGTGGAGGCAGAAGGATCAGGAGTTCAAGGCTAATCTGAGTCATGTAGCTACTTAAAACAGGTCAACAATAAACAGACAAACAGATAGATAAACCCCCCCTACACACACACACACACACACACACACACACACACACACACAGGGTTTCTGTATGGCCTAGATTTGCTCTGTAGACCCACCTGCGGGGAGTGCAGGGATTACAGGCATGCCCCACCACGCCCTGCTTCAAGTAAATATATATTTTTTAAACCTAAAAAGGCCCCTCTCACCTCATACATGTCTCTTCCCCTAGTTCAGTCATCAAGTTTCTTGAGATTGTTCACAATTTGTAAAACATTATGAATACATTTGTATAGGTACATGTTACTAAATATGTTTTTAAAATGTATTTAGTTATTCTGCACATGGTCTGAACAGGGACTTCTCAAAGTTTTCTTAGGAGACTCTAGTCTGCAGCCGAGATTGAGTAAGCAAGTTTACACCAATTTTCTTTAGACCCGGCTGGAGCTGTGCCCAGTCTGAGAAAGGTACCTGGGCACTGTAGCAACAGTCCTCACCAGTCACCAGGAAGACTGTTTCAGACCAGTGCGGGGATGCTAGCACTTGGGACTTCGGAAGAAGCACAGCCACAGTCTGAGGTCAGCCTGGGCTACAGAGGGAGATGCTGTGCCAGATCTTGCTCTTCAGACCATGTCGGCTTCGAACTCACAGAGATACCTATGCCTCGTGAGTGCTAGGACTAAAGGCATGTACCTCACTTGGCTTTCATTGTGACCTTTTCAAGTGCTGGAGAGACAGCTCAGCAGCTAAGAGAATTGGCTGCTCATCCAGAGGGCCCAGGTTCTGTTGCCATCATCCATATCCACAGGAGATCTAATGCCTTCTCCTGGCCTCCAGGAGCACCAAGACCCGTGCTGTGTATTACACAGACAGATATGCAGACAGAACACCCATACTTACAAATAAATAATCTTTCCATATATGCATAAAATTTACTTTGCTTCTATTCACACCTAACACTATTGCCTACTTTATTTTTATTTACTTATTTTATTTATTTATTTATTTATTTTGCAGGGGCGATGGTTTGAAACTTACAGACTTTTTCTTTTCTTTAGCATGTCACAGTGTATCCCACAGTAGACCCTTTTGTCCACACACCTTTGTGTACAAGTGTTCGTTGCAATGGGTCACCTGTCTGGTTCAGGGCCTCTGGCTTCTGCCGCACCACCAATACTGGAACCTCATCGGGCCTCCTCTCAGAGATCCTGCTGCTGCCCTGTGTCACGGAGGTCCCGCAGCACCAAATCTGCAGGACCAGCCCTTCACATGCTCCAGCAGTTCATGAGATAGGTGTTGGGGTGGGCCCTGGATTTGGGCCTGAGAGGTAGCTACATTAGTCAGCTCTCCACACCCACACCACCAAGGAGGCTCAGCTGGCAAGGGGTAGGGCCAGCTCTCCCACTCTCATGCCCTTGGAGCGGCTCACCTCTGCCACCAGGGCCGGTTCTACTGTGCTGCCCAGAGGCACGGGGCGTGCGGGCAGCAAGGGGCCGAGTAGAGAGGGCATCTCTCCCACCACCCTACAAGAAAGGAGCAGCAGCCCTCCTGCACTCAGGCTCTTGGGGCCTTACCTGCACCCTCCGTCCCCACCTTCCTCTTCTCCAATAATCCACTTTCTACTCAGACCCCCCCCCCCAAAAAAAACCCTCGTTTCCACAGGAGAGAAAACAAGCAGTGTCTGTGAGTCGCTTATTTCACCCCACATGAGGGCTCCCAGTTCACCTTCCGGCAGATGGTGAACTTTCACTCTTTCTGGCTGGGTGACCCAGATGCACCCCAAGCACGTACACCCTGAGAAATGAGTGCTTCTGGACTCTGGCATGGAGCCTCCCCGGAGCCTGGCAGGCCACATTTGGCCTAGCGTGTGCAGGACCATATCCCTTTCCCCACGGTATTGAACACGTAGTCTGCACATATCTTCTATGGGCAGAGCACCTAGCAAGGCCTGAGAAGGCTAGAGGATTTCAGGGGCCTTGAATCACCTGAAAGGAAGGGGCTGACTCTGAGCTTTTTTTCTCAGAGGGTATAGTACAGGCACTGAGTGGTTTTGAGGCTGGGTGCTTCACGATGTAGACAGAGAAGGAGACAGACCATAAAACTCTAGTTACGACATTTCTGACTTACGAACCTGCTCCCTGCCCCGGTGTTCCCACTTCCTCTTCTGACTATAACTGCACTCCCGGCAGACAGATGTCTCTTCAAGAAAGCTCCTTCCTGGGCTCGAATAAGCTGCTCTCTCCTGGAGCTTCCTTCAAGGAAGGAGGTTGTCCACGCCTTCAAGGGAATGGAGGTGGACCCGGGTAAGGGGATCAATGCTGAGTCCCCAACCCCCTCCCCTAGTCAAAAGAATAGGTTGGGACCTGAAAGCGCCATCTGTCACCAGAGATAATTAACCTACTGACACTACCTGAGTTCCAAAGTCCAAGGCTCCTGAAAAGCCAGGCGCTGCACATCTGCCCCTCATTAACAGAGACCACACTCATCTGTCCACCACCCCTCCACAGCTCGGTCTCCTCACCCACAAAACGCACAGGTGAACTGACCCTCAGGATTCACTGAGCTATCACAGGACTTGGCAAACACTGGGAAGGGGGGTAGGACCTCGGCGTTCAGACTCCAGCACCACGGAAACACACCATGCAAGAATCAGCCGCCATATCCCTAAGTATTTAGAATTTGTCTTTCAACTACACTTTAAAAAAAAAAAATGTATTATGTAATTTACAACAACAGAAAAGGGTTTTTAAAGACTGTGGTCCCTAGGTAGCTGGCAGACTTCCTCAGCAAGTTGAGTTCTCTACCCTAAGCCCTTATTACTTAGTTCCTATATACAGAGATACAAATATAGATGTGTGTGTTTGTGTGTTCTTTTGGGGCGTTGTCAACAAAGACTTTTGAGTTTGTTCTTTTTTAATTTTTATTTTATGTGCATTAGTGTGAAGGTGTTAGATCCCTTGGAATTGAGGTTACAGACAGTTGTGAGCTGCCATGTGGGTGCTGGGAATTGAACCTGGGTCCTTTGGAAGAGCAGATAGTGCTCTTAACCACTGAGCCATCTCTCCAGCCCAGACCTGAGTTTTTATTTTTTGAGTTATTTAATCATAACACTAAGCTAAAGTTGTATCCCACATCTCCAGGTAAATTCCTCATTGCTGAAACTTTCTGTTTCCTTCCCTTCCTCTAGGTCAACTGCTCCTTTCCTGACTTTGAGCCAATTGTGAAATCCAAGAAGACACTTTGATAGTGGCCTTCTTGTAGGAGAAGTTGAGGGTAGCCTCCTAAGGAAAGCAGGTAGGCAATGCCCATAAATCCCAGAGTGCTCCCGCCTTTTGGCCTAGTAAGGTCACTTGTGGGAAGTTACGCTACAGGGAGACTCACACAGGTGAGCAAAGAATACACAAGAAATCCC